CTTACTAGGTCATAATGCCTGAGCCACCAAAATATTAGGGTGAAAACCCTTTAAATTACATTTAGTTATGAAATTATTTACATTGTGTTAGAAAATAACTGTGATGTTCTATATTAAATTAAATTTGACCAAAGGTAACACATGGCTCAAATGGGTTCCAGAGCCGGGCGAGAGGCAACCTCTGCGCTCGGAGAACAACGTGGAACTGATTGACAAGATACTTTTGAAGGATGAAGATAACAGAATGTCAATGCAACAAAAACTATAAAAGTTGTACATAGTATTACTACAGCTAAAAGATTCAACAAGTTTTGATGATTTTAAAAATAACAACAATGTAGGTGTTGGGATTTAAAAACTTTTTATTTATTAATTTAGGGTATAAAAGATGTCAAATCAATGATGGTTGGATCTTACTAAACTTAATTTTATTAATTCTTCACCATAGGAGCATTCCTAAATAAAGTCATTTAAACATGAGGTCCTATATTAGCTTCAAATATTTGTTATTTAATTTTTACCTTGTCCTAGATGTGTTAAACATAAAAGGATAAATTCCACAAATACAAGCTAACCCAAAAACTAAATACACTTTAGACCACATTCCATACGACGAAAAGCAACATAAGTTGCCTAAGGCACAGGTCATTATACTAATCATGACTATAAAACCATCATTGATTTGACATCTTTTATACCCTAAATTAATAAATAAAAAGTTTTTAAATCCCAACACCTACATTGTTGTTATTTTTAAAATCGTCAAAACTTGTTGAATCTTTTGGCTGTAGTAATACTATGTACAACTTTTATAGTTTTTGTTGCATTGACATTCTGTTATCTTCATCCTTCAAAAGTATCTTGTCAATCAGTTCCACGTTGTTCTCCGAGCGCAGAGGTTGCCTCTCGCCCGGCTCTGGAACCCATTTGAGCCATGTGTTACCTTTGGTCAAATTTAATTTAATATAGAACATCACAGTTATTTTCTAACACAATGTAAATAATTTCATAACTAAATGTAATTTAAAGGGTTTTCACCCTAATATTTTGGTGGCTCAGGCATTATGACCTAGTAAGTATAACCATTTTTTGCTTTTCAACCTTAGTCAAAATTTCAAAATCTCGTTTGTTTTAACTAAATGGTTTATACTTATTTTTAGGCATTTTCGATTTTAATAACCTGATGATGGACTGTTTAGTCCGAAAACGTTTGTTCTATTGATGTGGCCCTTTTAAGGGTTTTTTAAATAAATATACCCACTTACAAAGATTAACCTCTTTTTTTTTTTCTTTTTATATAATAACAGACAAAAAGCAAATTATTCAAGATGTCACTGTACTCAATAAACTATCAGTAGGAAGCGACCACAAACCAGTAAGAGCTAGAGTAACGATCAATCTACAAAAAGAAAGAGCAAAGATGATAAGCAGTTGTAAACGCATAGTTTGGAATTCACCAAATCATCCAGAAGCATATATAAGAAATATAGCCGAAACTTTACAGAGTAATAATCCCAAACCTCTAAGTATCGACGATCACAATAAATTAATAACAGACTCAGTTAGAAACGCACAACTCAAATTTTGCAAGAAAAATGACACCAAAAGTGCAAAGATTAGCAAAGATACAAGGGCTCTCATGGAATTACGACGAAACCTAAGCGAGAACGAAAAGGGAAACAAAGAAGAATATAAAAAACTAAATAAAAGAATTTCAGCGGAAATTAGAAAAGATGTAAGAAGATATAATACTAATGTAATTACTCAAACAGTAGAAGAGAACAAAGGTTTAAAGATAATGAAAAGAAAACTTACACAAAGTAAAAAATAAAGACGGAAAGGCAACAACAGATAAACAAAACATTCTGAAAATAACTAGAGAATTTTATAAAGACCTCTATACCAGCCAAAGACCACAAGACAATTTCCCGACACGAGTAAAGACTCTCATAAATCAGGGATCGGAAATACTTTTACCCATTACTGTGTCAGAAGTAAGAGCAGCTTTAAAGGAAATGAACAACCATCGATCGCCTGGTGATGATGGACTCGTTATCGAGGCAATAAAAGCAGGTGGAGAAATTTTATTAAAATCAGTAAGCGAACTGTTTACTAAATGCTTACATGCGGGTACGATTCCAAAAGACTGGAACAATGCAGTAATAGTCTTGTTACACAAAAAAGGCGATATTACTAAATTAGAAAATTATAGACCCATCAGCCTCTTGACACATATGTACAAACTCTTTATAAATATCTTAACAAAGAGGCTAACACCTAAACTTGATTTCTATCAGCCCAAAGAACAGGCAGGCTTTAGGGCAGGATATGGCACAAATGACCATTTGCATACCATAAAGATCTTAATAGAAAAGTGCATCGAGTACAACATACCACTGGTTCTTGCATTTGTCGATTACGAGAAGGCTTTTGATTCTGTAGAGTTTGAAACAATACTGGAAGCCCTAAATCAAAGCCGAATAGATTACAGGTACACGACACTAATCAAAAACATCTATCAGAACGCTACATCAAGTATACGACTGCACGAAGACACAGAAAAATTCAGCATAGGTCGAGGAGTTAGACAAGGAGACAATATTTCACCAAAATTGTTCACGGCAGCTCTAGAGTCAATATTTAAGGGTACTCAATGGCAAGATATGGGCATCAATATAGATGGAGAAAGATTAAATCACCTAAGGTTTGCAGATGATGTTGTATTAATCGCAGATAACTTACATGATACAGTTTCTATGATGCATTCGCTTAAAAGTCTGTCTGAAAGAGCAGGATTAAAGATAAACTTTGAAAAAACTAAAATTATAACAAATCTCGTAATGAGTGGAAATATAACTATTGACAATAATACCATACAACAAGCAGACACTTACAAATATCTGGGGCACGAAATCAAAATAAGCAGAGACAATCAAACACATGAAATACAGAGGCGAATAGGTCTAACATGGGCAGCATTTGGCAAATTAAGCCATATTCTAAAAGTTCAATTCCCATGTGTCTCAAGCGAAAGGTTTATAACCAATGTGTTTTACCTGTACAAACTTATGGAGCAGAGACTTTAACACTCACGCAAGAATCTGCGAATAAACTTAGAGTTACACAACGAGCCATGGAACGTGCAATGCTGAACGTGAGCCTTCAAGACCACATAACAAACCAACAAATCAGGCGAAGATCAGGAGTTCAAGACGTCATCGAAAGAACCACGACGCTTAAGTGGAACTGGGCAGGGCACTTAGCCAGAACACAAGATGGACGGTGGACAAGACGTATTATGGAATGGAGGCCCAGAAATTATAAAAGAAGCCGAGGACGACCACCGACTAGATGGACCGATGACATTAAACGTGTACCGGGAAACTGGCTACAAGCGGCCCAGTGTAGAGAACACTGGAAAGAACTGAGGGAGGCCTATGTCCAGCAGTGGACGCGATTGGCTGATTGATGATGATGACAATATATACTGATTACAAAAGTTAATCTTCTTCTTAAAGAGCCATTTCTGCGACGGATATTAACAACCACTTAGGCACTTTAACTTTCGATGTAACTTCTATAAAGGATTGTTTTGAGCTGAATCATAAAATTCTTTTTTTAAGTTGTTCATCCGATCTACGTCTTTATAATCTCACATTCTTACCCTCTATTTTACCTTGGGTATAAGTCGCAAGATTGTGTATTCTTCTCTGCGCACAATCGCAATTTGTTTTTAATTTTCCTTGCAACTTCTTTTCCTTTCTTAATTCTTCTTAATACTTCGACCTATTTTGGTTGTTTGTTCTGAAACCTGGTGTTATTCCTTTCTTTTTTATGTGTTTGGCTATTTTTGATTATATCTTGCCTGTATATGTAATCGAACAGAAGGTACTAGGTTTCTCTCTGGTGGTGGAAAGACTAATTTCAGAGCTTTATTATTAAACCAAAAACCCTTTTCACCACCAGAGGAAAACCCAGTATCTTCTACTCGATTATATATACAGGCAAGATATAAAAAAAATATTCCAACACATAAAAAGGCAAGGAATCCCAATAACTTAAACAAATATATTAAAAACAACAAGAACCAAAAAAGCACTTAGACAGTCTTGTACTCAAACTTACATGTGGTGACTACCAAAAACTTACATCGGTCAAACTGAAAGAGCCGTTATCAATTATATAGCAGAACAGAAAAAAGCTTTCAATAATAGAAAAATATATTATTCACGCACTTTACTTTTTAGATCATAATCATTCTTTTGATGACTAATTTTAAATTCTCCATATTCAAAATAAAGATCTGAAGCTATCTTTACTAGAATCTATGGAAATTAATAAATTTAAAGGCACTCTAATAGCTGTAGTAGTAATAAATTATAATAAATTTTGTGGAAATGTTAAAAACAAAACTCATTTCTAAATTTCTTCTCGTAAGATTCTAGAGACAAAATGATTGTACATTACCAAGAGCCCTTTTTGCCTTCATCCTTTTAAAATAAGCGACAATTTTACTTTGAAATAAGTTTGTTTTGATGTTTCGATTTCTACTTCTACAATCTTCCTCTCAAATGGCAATAGTAATTTGCCATTTAAATTAATTCGTTGAAATTGGTTTGTCTTAGTACATTTTTTAATTGCTAAAAAGACGCCAAGTCAAATAAAACAATGAGAATGGTAACGATGTTGAACCTTTCCTCTCAAATTACTTCCACTATTCAAATTTCGACAAGGTGTTTCTGGGACCTTATAATCCTATGCCCTTTTAAATATAACCGTAATAAATCAATACAATACAATAAATCTCAGTAAAAGGAACACTAAAATTAAATAAAAGAAAATAAAACACTTAGATCTATATTTCGTTTTATTTGTACCAATTAGGGTGTTAAAATTCCAAGTTTTAAAAACTATATTTTCGTGTTTTCCAAATATTTTAATTCCCGTTTTTTGCCTTTTCTTAAAGTGCATCTTTGGTGTTGTACTACGCCTACATCTTCTTATTCTGCATAAGATTCTACAGGGGACACATAAACGTCACTTTGAGCGCTAGATTCCCGCTTTTGGAGTCTTTTCTGTACCACTATTTCCATTACCATAAGGAAAATACTGAAAACAATTCCTATTCCATATATTAAGAATGCTGCATAACAGTCTATAAGTCCAGCACTTCCGAAGTTACTTCCTTTATTCTGGCAGACTGGTTTATTACTGTAGAATCGATTAACATCTCTGCGTTGAACTCCTACTTCAAGAATTTTTCGTAAACTAAAACAAAACGTTGGTATATATATTTAAATATATTAGTTACTTGATCGGCACAGTATATAAGTTTTTACATTGTTTAAAACATTCAAACAGGTATTTGACAGCGTGATAAGAAAAATACATAAAAGAAATAAAATTAGTCGAAATCCCTTCCAAATTAATCGACAAAAATGACCATTAAAGACTATCATAACATGAATCATAGTCAGAATATTAACCACCCCATTCAATAAACAATAAGTACAATAAACGCAACTAAAATCAAAGGACATACGTCAAGAAACCCTATAATTTTCGTAGATGACATTTCCTTGAGAGAGATAAAACTCTCTCAAGGAAATGAGAGAGAGAAATGGGAAAAAGCAACAATAGTAGTGGCCTACAACATATACTTTGGTTGAAGGAGAGCCGGATTCCTAGATGACCAGAACTCAACATGTTATATGTATTTCCAAAATATAAATCTTGTAATAATAATATAAATACATTAAGCTACATACCCTACTTTAATGACCTCCTTGTAAGCAGATCGTTTCCTTATCGAGACCCAAGGTTCCAACATATTCATGAATTCAATTGTTTTCAGGCCACATTTCTCGTTTTCCTGGAACGTATCAGCAATAACTTTGTATCCAGACGAAAGTTCAACGTGAAAAGCAAAAAAGCCTTTTTGCACTTTAGATATTCCTTCGTAAATGTCCATGAAGTTTGCTTTTTGTCCTTTGGGTGCGACTTTTTGTTGATATATAGCCTTTCGTACTGGTTCCTCCGCAGTCTGAAATTAAACAATGTTTTTTTGTTAATAAATTAACAATACACTAAAGAGCTAGTACAGAAACTGTTTGAATTATGTGAAGACAATCAGGTCAATATCCGGTTCGAAGGGCATAAATATGAAGCTTTTATACAGGGAAAAGTCCTAGAGACTTTAGTTTCTAATTTTATTGTAAAAATGGGCAAAATAAAACTGATTTAACTTAAATTCTTTATTCACTGTTTTTGCAGTACATGTTATCCCTTTGATAGCTTGAGAGGACGTGTTAATAACGGCGCAAGGACAATATGCGCACGAGTGACCTAAACGAGTAAAGGAAAATAAATAAACAAATTTAATCAAATCGAATTGTTAAAAACGAAACATTTAAAGCAATAATAGAGTTTAAAAATAGTAAACACTTTAATTAGTTCAACAATTATCACTGCACTGTGTCTATATGAAGTAGACATATTGTACTAACTGGTCTCTTTGGTGAGACTAAGTAATGCGAAGAGTAACCACTCTGGTTACACTATCTGGACTAGGATGAAGAGAATAAACAATACCAATCAACCATTTTAACGGGTGCTGTCCTTTATCCTTTATAAGGACTAAATCTCCAAGCTAAATGTTTGACATGTGTACCTTCCATTTTTGACGGCTCCGCAGTTCTGATATATGTTCCAAAGACCATCTCCGTCAAAATTACTGACGAATCTGCTGGACTCTTGCAGATTTTGATGAAGTTTACCGGAGTTGATATCTGTAAGGTCAACTTCTGGAACTGATTCCATTGACCATCCATTCAAGAAGTAGGCAGGAGAGATCGGGGAAGGATTAGCGGAAATATGAGTCAAAGGGCGAGAGTTTAGGATACCTTCTATCTGAACAATAACAGTGTTAAAATCTTTATAAGTAAGATGTGAAATTGAAATAACTCTGTAGATCCAAATATGAAAACTTACCTGGAAGTAATAATGTGCGTAAACAATATCTTCCACACCCAAACTGATCCTGGAATGTAGCAAATCCTCCAAAGTTTTTATACTCTCCGTAGTGCTTTGTAAGATAGCCACTATATTAGCGGCATATGCAGTGTACAAGAACATAAAAGCTATGAAAGTGAAAACTGTAGCAATTCTGCCAGAAACACTTTTTGGTTCGGTGTCAGTGCCTTGTTGGGTTATTGCTCCTAGTTCCATGACTAACACGTCGAAAAATCCTGGTCTTAAAGGCATTATGGTGTTCGAGTGGGTTTCTGCTACTGTTTCTTTGAATACTGGGTCATACCATTCCCACTTAACTATTATGTAAACTAAAAAACATAAATTTAATGCTAAGATGCTATTGTCTCGTATACAATGTACACTGATGCAAATCTTATATTATATCTTAGAAGTAGTATTAAATATGCAGTATTTTGCATAAAAATATAAATGTTTATCCAAAAAAAAAAATGTTATAATAAAAAAATATATAAACATCTCAGAAAGTAGTATCCGTTTTATTTAAAAAAATATTTTCAATATCTTTTTTTATTATAGTATTTAACATTTATTTATTTTACAAATTAAGTTTATGTAATTAAATATTAAAAGTATTTGAACAAATAAAGGATATTACTTTGTAACCATGTCATCACCAGCTATCACCACTGGCTTACCTCCGCTCTGTACACACATCTTCCCCCGGTAACTTCCACTTGCATCGATGCGCGCTGAAGATGGAAGACCGTCGAGGTTATAAAACAACGACCACCGCAAGAGAGAATCAAGTTCTGCCAAAGTACTGATCTGATGGGAATTCTACCGGGTTTTTGGGTATTGACCACAGACATACCGTCCTAAGAGTTTGATCAGAGTATTGATCTGGCAACAAATCCACTGGCCCTAGGGTATTGACTGAAGGGCCAACCGCTTCTACTAGAGTATTGATCTAGTAGCATCTCCCTAACAGAGTTTAAGAGTATTAATCTGAGACCATACCGTACCATAACTAAGTCTTGATGAGTCACTTCCAGCTCCTTGCCAGATCGAGTATTGATCGATCCCTCTACCTTTAACTCAGATTATTTCTTCTCCTCGACGTGTCTGTGTACAAATGCATAGTATTTTAGTTTTATTTTTATAACGTTAATTGTATGTATTTTTCACAGGTACTAACAGTGGATCGTAGAGCCGTCATACGTCAGCATAGAAATTAGCTGCTTCTAACCATGTGTCTCATCGGTTTAAAATGGGTTGCAGTGGCAGAACAACAGCAGAAAGGATCTCTCTATAATATTAAATTCTTGCAGGTGATTTCAGGCATATTTTTTGACGCTTGCTAATAAACTGTTAACTAGAGGATTTTTTTTCTCTATTTGTTCCGCAACTCTGTTTATTCCATGCGTTAAACAAGCAACAAGTATTCAATTTTGGATAAAATATTTTTAAGTTTTGTTCTGCTTTCACCATATTCGGTACATCATCAGATAGAACGACCAATATGTTATTATTAGGCACATCTACAAGAAGAAAAAAGTTTGCTAATGCTTCTTGTATAAAACGTGATGTTGTTAGAGCGTTTATTTTTCCTGTTGCTTACAGGAAATTAAATAAGATTTTGGTATGTATCTTCCTGACGAGTTAGTCCGCACATAGTATGTCAACACCAGTTTGTCAATAATCCTGTGAAATACTCCTACAATACAAGCAATTGGACTTCGTCAGTCCTAGGTTTTCACCCAAAGTGACCGAAAATAAAAGCGGAACTATATATTTGAACTGTTCTTGTAACTTTGCGTCAATTAATATACGATTTCACTAATTATAAGTAATTTGTGCCATCATTTTTTGACCAGAAGTATATATTTGTTCTCGTCGTATTAAGGTGCATCCACTAATATAGCGCTTGTACCATTTCGCCCAATTCAAAATAGTGATTCTGGTTGCAACTCTGGAACAGGAGCTGTGAAGTCAAGTTTCTCAGCTTTAACATCTTTTTTGGGGTAACTTTAGGTAACCTTGATTTGTGAACCGGGAATAAATTTCGTAAAAATAATTTTGTCTTTTAGAATATCAGTAGGAAATAATGACAATGAAATTCTGGACAAATATTGAGAAATCAATGTTGAATTAATCAATATCATTGTTTAAGCTTTGTGTTCTGTTTTATCCAGCTGTGTATTATTACAATCAATATTTCTATACAGCATTAAAATACATACCTGCAAGAAATACAAGGGGTATCAATCCAAAGCAACCGTACCAAACATAAGAATCAAAGGGTAAGGTAAATACGTTGGAAACATATGATAGAGGAGGAGCTCTAAATAAAAATCTTATGTGTGTGGGTGCACTGGGTGCTATATATTCGATGATGTCTATTCTGTCTATGGTGAAGAAAGCCGCAGTTCCTACAATGAAAATAATACAGCGTTATAAACAAATTTTCAAATCTTAGGATTATTTTGTATTATTATTTTTTTTTATTATATTAATACAGTTAAATTAATTACTATTTAACTGGAAATAAGCCAGAATTAAAGATAAAATTACGTTTATTGACGTTTCAATTTCCACTTCGGAAATCGTTCTCAATTAGAACGTTAAGGTTTCTGCTCCGTATGTGAGGACTGATAGAACGCATTGGTTAAAAACTTTTCTTTTTAAATGGATCGGTATATTTCTTTAAATACGTCTGTCATTTTTCCGAATGCAGCCCAACCCAGACTTATTCTTCTGAGTAGCTCGCATGTTTGGTTATCTCGCGTTAACCTTATTTCGTGACCCAAATACACATATTGAAGACACGAGTACGGAATATATACTTAAACAATTAAACATACCTCCAATTTCAGCTTCACCAGATTTTAAATCTCCAACCATTCCTGTAAATCTTGATGTATTGCCAACTCGGTATCCCCAAGTTGACTGAAATATTGGTGTAGAAGTGCCATTCAATAACAGTAATAAATTTCTCATGACAAACCAATTGACTTTTGAAATGGGATCGATGTGCCTATCTCTACAAAAGATATAACAATAGTTTTAATATTAGTTAAGGCTCCTTTCAAAAATATACCTAAGATTACCACGCTTACTGTTTGACAACTACGAGATTACTAGTAGATTTTGTTTTTTTCTAGGACGCCAACTACGAGTTATCCCGTAATGTGTTTACTTGCCATCGTTGTGCAGCTATAATTAAATTCAGAATATATTAGTGCTAATAGATAGATGGCTTCTGGGAAAAGAACAAAAGATTAATGCTGGCTTGAATAAATAGAAAATTTATTAAAAAAGGCACAAAAAAAATAAAAATAAAAATTAATTCAATTTCTAGAAATAAAATAATACTTTATTGTTTGTGGAGCTTCTTTAAATAATTTTCCACACAAAGAGCTGGCTTGTCTATACCAGTTGCATAGAAGAAACGCGTTTCTCGGCTTTGTTTGCTTGGGTACATATACGACATGACTTTGTCGGAGGCTGTTTTTTTTTTTGTAGTCTCTACTAATTGGTTAATTTAATACTCGACGTTTCGGCACCCATTTTGGAGTAATTATCATGGTACCGTTCGAGTTCGGCGTTTCAATCTGCCTATTCCCCTCACTCGTGACGTACCAATATCTTGAGAATAAATACAAGAACCGTCAAACGGCTCTAAGGTCTCATTTTGACTACTCCTCAGTATTGAGTGACGACCAGTCTTACAGACGGACTCAATTTCATTTTGGGGGAGAGGTAAGGGAATTTTTTATTACGAAAAGGATGAACATGGGTGTACCCATTTAGGATCTTTAGATCCTGTTTAGGTTAGAATTAAATGTGTTGTTTGTTATCGTCGAAAGCAAGATAGTCTGAAAACCATAACTGGGGCAGCGGTTTGTGTGGTACAGCATCTTAGAGGCTGTTGAGATGGAGTCACTACTTGAGTTAGAGACAAGAGGCTTGTCTGGATGTGGTGTTCTTTCCAGAAATGTAGTGTGTGTGTTTTGAGCTAAATACTGCAGGACCATATCTCTAGTTACTATTGTTCCTGCAGCCGTTTTTACGTCTACGCCCAACTTCAAAACTAGTTTATTACACTAAAATGTTGTCACTGGTTTTCGTTAACGACGAGGCCTCGTCAGCTTTCGAGAGGCGGTCTACCGTAGATAGCCCAGTGTGAATGTATGTGTGTTAGCCTGACAGTGATGGACGCTACCATTTCGATGTTACTTTAGTTGCATCAGTCGCCTAGATCGGGGGTCACCAAATGGCGGACCGCGATCTGCATCCGGACCGTGAGCTAGTTTTTTGCGGACCGCCATTAAATTCAAAATATAGTAATAAGATTATAGTGTAAAATTATAAACAAATATCAATATATAAAAATCTTTACATTTTTAAAATGCACAGACACATGTTTCAACTAACCAGGATGATCTCCTGAGGGAGGGTTACAACTACTGGAGGGATTCTGAATAACCTCCTCGCCCCGTTTACGCCACTACCTGATTTAGTGCTGAGGGTCCAGACCGCGAAGTGTAGTAGATTTTTCAAACGGACCCTCAGGAAATATAATTGGTACCCCTGGCCTAGGCAGACCCTTTCGACACCAGAATCTGGTATCGTGCACAGCATTCTGTTGTCATCCGAGGTTCCCAACGGCGAGAATACTTCGGTAGCAGAAAGACTATGATGCTAGTGTGAGTGTTGTATGCGAGTCTAAATCGGAAAAAAAAACGTGTTCTCTAGTGACCATTGTTCCTGGAATATGTTGGACTTATATTCCAAAAAGGGGCCGAATGAATGTTTTGTAAGTGTGTACGAGAGTCTTTAAATGTGTTTTTCCAATTACCCCTGTAAGTGGTGTGAGAAGTTGGGCTCGGTTTCTGACCCTATCCATAGTTGCATTTAGGCCAGGTTCCCAGTTGGGTGTCCTAGTGAATAGAACGCCCAAATAGGAAGCTGTCGGGCTCATATCGAGCATTTGTCCCATTAGATTCAGGGGGAATTGGTTATCGCCGTAGCGATTGATTTTCACAGTCCGGTTTTAGGCCCGGCGCAAATTGAGCACAGCCCACGCACATCCCACGCGCAGCCCACGTATGGTCCAACCTAGTCCAAGTACACGTTTTTCAATACTAACGCATATTGAACACAGCCCACGCCCATGTCAAATATTTGTGTAGAATATGTTCTATCCATAAAATTAGGAAAAACACAATTTACGAGTGTGCTGATTGTAACGAAAAACCTGGACTATGCATAGGAGATTGTTTTCGCAAATACTATTCAACGAAAAGATAGACTGTTTTTAGTATATTAGTTTAAATAAAGATTTTATTTTCTGACCTTTTAATTTTTACCTAATATCCCACTAACAATTTCTAATCTGAAAATATAAATATCTTGAAAATTTTCACAAATGCTAAGGGTAAAAAATTGAAATCCTTCAACAAAAGACTATAGATATAATTTGAATAAGCTGCTTTTGCCGATTTGACTTTCTTATTACTAATTAGCATAATAAACAGATATTTTACATGGTAAAACAATTTTAACAATTCTGTTAAAGATTAGATTTTTGTTTCATTGAAATCTGAACCTGATAATAATTTCTTGAGAACTTTTACATATGATAAGAATAATAAATTCTTCAACAAAAGACTATAACAGGTAGATACCCATAATTTGAATAAGCTGGTTTTGCCGATATTGACTTAAAAAAGAAATTAAATTAAAAAAGAACATGAAGAAAGTAGAAAAATAATAAAAAATTCTCAAATTTAAATTTATCTCGAAAACAAAATACGATCTGTTATTTATTACCTACGTTATTTCACTTATTTCAACAATACTCTGTATAGTATTTTGTTAGAGGATTCCAACTTAGTACTCTCAGCATTGTAAAAGTTTCCAAGAAATTAATATTCGATGAAGTTTTCGAAACAAGCGAAATGAAAGTCGGAATATTCAACGGCATTGTAGCCAGTTACAATATCTGCCTGTTATGCGAATTAGTAATTAGAAAGTCAATATCGGCAAAACCAGCTTATTCAAATTATGGGTATCTACCTGTTATAGTCTTTTGTTAAAGGATTTCAATTTTTTACCCTTAGCATTTGTAAAAGTTTTCAAGATATTTATATTTTCAGATTAGAAATTGTTAGTGGGATATAAGGTAAAAATTAAAAGGTCTAGAAAGTAAAACCTTTATTTAAACTAATATACTGAAGAGAGTCTATCTTTTCGTTGAATGGTATTTGCGAAACAATCTCCTATGCATAGTCCAGGTTTTTCGTCAGAATCAGCACACTCGAAAATTGTGTTTTTCCTAATTTTATGGATAGAACATATTCTACACAAATATTTGACATGGGCGTGGGCTGTGTTCAATATGCGTTAGTATTGAAAAACGTGTACTTGGACTACGTTGGACCATACGTGGGCTGCGCGTGGGATGTGCGTGGGCTGTGCTCAATTTGCGCCGGGCCTTACCCTGTGTAGCTACTTACGTACTGAGTTATATGATCGGTTGGGGTGGGGAGCGGTCGTCATGTTGTCGGAAGTCTTTTAGTGTCATCGTGCGTGTTTAAATGGTTAGAGTTTAGTACTCTATATACAAAAGTTTTTCATGTATTTAGCAGTTTTTTAAAAGTAATAAAATTATAATAATTATTTATGTAAACCACGTATTCTTTATCGAGATAAAGAATACTCGTCCTCAGATAAATGTAAAACAAAATTAGTAGTGTGACCTATATTATTGTCAGTTTTTTCAGATTTTCCGCTGTAAATCTTTATTTTTATTACAAGTAGATCGGTCTTACATAGTTTCTAAAGTTTAACATCATAGTCGTGTATTCTGTTTATTGTCGGAAAAACAATGTTCACGCTTAATATTATTGAAATGATTTATTATTGGTCTCACTTTGTATAATCAAAGTAACTGGAATCAATTTTGACTCGTAAATGAGCGCAAAAAATTTATATTGTATAGGTTGTTTGAGCTCCAGTAATATTCAATTGATGGAAAAGTACAAGGTCTTATTTGAAATAAAATTACAATAAAAACTTTCATCTCTGCAGTACTGACTTCTTGCCACCTTGTTCCACCAGTAACGCAAGAAACTCATCCGAAAAAATAAGTCCACCAGCGTCTGCACTGTGAAATTTGATGTATCCAATTTCGTGTTGCTGTACAATTCAGTACTATAATTCTTTTGTTAATGTTGGTAACATGTTTTCTTTTTGTTGATGACTGGTGACTTACTTGTCACCTGTCACCGGTCTTTGTACACTTGCACTTGTAAAACAATCAATCTTATTTCTTTTTTAATTAAATATATCAACAGTGTTACGATTATTATTATTAACCTGCGTAAACATTTCACACCAACATTTTCTTGGAAAATAAATAATTCAGGATTTTGTTGAATTTATGCCCGCAAATTATTATTCGCACTTAATGTTGTTGCGTGGGAATCATCGTAATTATCTTCAGGTTCACTTGACACAATATCGACATCGTTCATCATTTGTAACGTGCCAACGAACATTCATTGGACGTCAATCTATGACGTGCCAACAAATATTCATTGGGTGCCAATTTGTAACCCTTCGAGGCTCAATTTGTAACATCCCAACGTTGAGCTGCTGTTATCAACCTGTAACCGCAAACCTTAGTTTGCTGCTATAACCTGACTAACATCACTAACAACGTTGGAGTGACAAATCGTTTCCCGTTGGGACCAATTTTTAACGTCATAACCCCTAATGTATCAATTACAAAATTGCTACATTAGACGTTATACGAAACACTCCCTGGCTAGCTCACTCAGGACGTGAATATGGCCTACTCTGGAGCAACACACACAAACAAGTAAAAAGAAGAAACAATACACAGTTAAATTAGCACATGTTTATTAAAATAAAAAAAAAACAGAAAAATAAAAGTTAAGTATCGTATTGAATTTAAATAAAAATTATTCGACTTCTTGCTACAGTGTTACATTAGGTATATGAAAGAACAATGTTTGTCACCAAATCCTAAGTTTTATCCTGGTCTTTTCTGCTCTGATTGTTAGCAAGCCATGTTGTTAGTTTTGGATTTTCTTGTCCCGGAGTCAACTCTCCTATTGGAATGATGGTTCCATTCTCAGGCCGGTTGGTCTTCTGGATGTTAATAGAATTTGACCCGCACCTGAGAAATGTATCCCGGAGGTTGATGATAGTATCGTTCACGACACTATCACTTGAATTCTCAGAAAACTCAAAATTGATAATGTCGTTACCATCCTCGCCAAGAAATTCTGAATCACTTAGATTTACTTAGTACTCAAGTTCATTTTGTTTTAGTGGTCTTTCCTTTCTTATCCATACCGGATTCTTGATAATTTTATTATAACAATAAATATAAAACAGAACACTCAAGAAAGACGTAAATGTGATGTTTTTATTATAACAACAAACCCCACTTGCAAGGGATTATCATATTTTAAGCTAAAAATCAGTGACTGCTGGTCAGTGGCGCACCTATAAATTGCCTGGGGGCGGGGGGTTTAGTTACGCACCGAAATATTTTTATGTTATCTCCGTTTTGAGTCCTTAAAATTTGGGTTTAAGTTTAATTTAAAGTACTAAAGATAGCAGTGCCAAAGATTCAAGAAACTGTTATCCTGCCTACCAACCAAAAACCCCCTTTCCTACACATGCGCGGTATTTCTCTTCTTCTTTCTTTTTAATTACTGTTCGGCTGTAATTGTAAACACTATTCCATCCCTCTTTACTTTCCGTCATCTTCACGATCATCTCTCTCACAGTCACAGGGTTCATACCTATTTCTCTATACATTCTGTTTCTCTCCACTGTACATCTATTACACTCAAGCATTGTATAAGCAACAGTGTCGAAATATTCGCAGTACCTATAGGCATTAATCTGTATTTGTCTTTCTGAACATATGCAACTGCAACTTATATTACAGAGAAAGGTCTACAGAAAGAGTGGACCAGAAAGAAGAAGAATATCTTGGCTCCAGAACTTACGAAAATTATTTTCCTTAAGCACTTCCGTGTTGTTCCACTCTTCTTGTTGTCTTTTTATTAATCTTTCCCTTTCTTCTTTTTTCTGGCTGTTGTCAAAAGACAAGTAACATTTTCCTACTATTCTTTATATATGTTTTACTTTATATGCCCTGGGGGGGGGGTTAAACCTCCCTGGGTGCGCCACTGCTGCTGGTGATTATTTGGTTTAGGGGTTCGCTAATTCGAGAATACAAAAAAAATAATAGATAAATAGATAACTCCTTAAAATTTAATCCTTCTGTTTTTATCAAAGTTTCTTTTAGCCCTCTATCGTTAATTTTTGGGCATAGGCCCTTCCCAACTCATTTCATCTATCTCTATCCCAAACAGCATACTTTCAATTCGTTTAACCTTTTCATATTGTGCAAAATGTAATAGATCTGATAATAATGAGATGACGACGATCATAATGCTTATGATCGTTGTGAACATTATGATGTGAATAATGTTAATGATGGTAATAATAATGAAAAAAGTGGAGTCAGTTATATTTAAATAACGTTAAAATTACCTGAAATCTTCGAGATGGTTGAATGTGTCATTATTTGTAACAACATAAGAAATATTTAAATTAACTCCCATAATATTGCTCCTATTTGTCGACAAAATCAGCTGATTATAACTTGAAAAACCATTTTGTACATCCCATTCACCTATGTCGTTTTCCATGAACTCCATTGATTCATTTGAAGTTTTATATATAGACTGGATCCTGTAAGTCCCTTTAATTCCTTTTTCGGTTTTATCTATAATAAATATTTGACCGTCCAATCGAAAATAAAACTGTTTGAATTGGTCACGGTCCGTTTGACCCCAAATTAACCACCTATACGGATGATCGAACTTGTTCAATTGTTTGCCCTGAAAAAAGTAAGCGCGTGAGTTAGCAAATATGTTTATTTACAATTTATATCAAGGTCCAGTCAACTTACATAATATTTAAAGTGCAATTGTTGCAGACTGATGACTTTGAATTCCTTTTCAGATTAATAAATTTATCGTTATTATGGTATTTCATTGTAATTAGTTATTACTTGACACATGACAGGAAAATAAAAGTGATCGTAATTAAAAACAAGGACACAGATTCTTTGTTGCAATTAAGCACAAGAAAAAAGGTGCTGCAATAAAAAACAATCCATACTCTAACTAGGATATTTTCGGCAACTACAAGAGTAGTAAAAACGAGAAGTATTATCACATGTACTGTGGTCGATAATGATTTAGGATCTTTTTACAACGCTCAGGAGGCAGTACATATGATTCTCTTTCGCGCGAATTTTTCTCGAATAACATTCTCATATAAAAAAAGTCTGTAAACCGTATGGACATTTTTGAATGAAAGGTCCTATAAAAGAGAGCAACAGGTGGCAAATTACATACAATTACAAAATACATAATATATAACGATCCACCTTTATCTCTTCTTCTTCTTCTTCTTTTTATATAGACATGACTTTGTCTGTTTTTCAATGTGCCTCCAGTAAGTTGTCATTCCATCGTTTTCGTGGTCTTCATACTAAACGTCTTCCTATTGGACAACCGTCTCTTGCCGTCTTTACTACTCTATTTGTTGTCATTCGGCTTATATGATCGTTCCATTCTACTCCTCTATTTCTTACCCAGTTTTTGATGTTCTCCACCTTGCATCTATGTCGTATATCTGTACTTCTAGCTCTGTCACATAGTGTCTTACCATCAATTTTTTTAAGTGTTTTCATCTCTGCTGTTTCTAACATCCATTTTGTCCTCACTGTGTCAGGTCTTGTTTCTGCCGGACCTAAGACTGGATAAAATGTGGAGGGTGATTGGCAAGGTTAGCAACCTATCAATCGTAAAAACAAATACTGCTCAAAGAAACAATGTACAGCCTGAGAATTACTACTTGGAATATCAGATCACTCAACTCAAGAGACCAAGAAATAACCCAAGTACTGAAAGAGAAACAAATACACATTTGTGCTCTACAGAAAACAAAAAAGAGAGGAGAATGTCAATCAAAATTAGGTAAATACATACTAATCTACAGTGGATTAGCAAAAGAAAACAGAGCCAAAGAATTTGAGCATTACTAATACACCAAAGGTACCAAAATCATATCAAAGAGTGTGAATACATATCAGAAAGAATAGTAACAGCACAGATAAGAAGGGAGAAGGAAGACCTGATCATCATCGGAGTATACGGCCCAGAAAATAAAAATGGAATTGGGCTATAGAGTAATAGAATGAATGGAATCTTATATATTTCAACTAACATTAGGAAATAAGATAGAAGGTATCAAGATTAATGGCGTTTCAAAAAATAATATTCATTTCGCAGATAATACCACAATAATTGGTAATAATATTGAAGGCTTTTAAATAATTTTGAGCAAAATGATCGAATCCGGTGAACTTTTAAATTGAAGTCTGTGATAATAAAGTTAAAAAACATTCCCTAAAACGGAAACATAAGGAAAAAAAGTCCCCAAAACTCTTACTAATATAATCCAAATATCTTAAATAGTCATTTAAATACAAGGTCTTATATTAGCTTCAAATATTTGCTATTAAAAATTTTTACCTCTCCTAGATGTGATAAACATAAAAGGATAATTTTCATATATATATATATATATATATATATATATATATATATATATATATATATATATATAAGCTAATCTAACATAAAATAAACTTTTAGACCATATTCCATACGACAAAAAGCAACATAGGTTGCCTAATACACAGGTCATCCTCTTAAACATGACTTTAACACCATTGGTGATTTCACATCGATTATAACTTAAATTTTAAATCCCAATACCTATATTGCTGTTATTATTTTTTAAAATCATCAAAAATAATTTTTGAATCTTTTGGCTGTAGTAATACTAGGTATAACTAATATAGTTCTATGTTACATTGACATTTTGTTTTTGATACCTTTCATAGGTATATTGTAAATCAGTTTCCAGCTGTTCTCCGTGTGTAGAGGTTTTCTCCCCGGCTCTGGAACTCAATTTTTGCAATGTATGTTACCTGAAGTCATATTTAATTTAATACTGAACATCACAGTTTTTTAACAACAAGATGTATAATCTTTTATCTTCTTCTTCTCGTGCCACTCCTAGCGGAGATTGGAAATCATCATGGCCACTGCGACTTTGTTAGCAGCGCGCCTAAAAAGTTCAATCGAACTACACCCGAACCATTCACGTAGATTACGAAGCCACGATATTTTTCTTCTTCCCACACTTATTTTGCCCTTAATTTTGCCCTGCATGATGTTCCTTAGAAGTTCGTACTTTTCACCTCTCACAATGTGCCCCAAGTATTCCATCTTTCTAGTTTTTATCTCATTTAGAATTTCGCATCTTTTGTCTAAAGTTTGGAGTACTTGCGTGTTAGTGACGCGGTCCATCCATGATATTCTGAGAATACGTCTATAGCACCACATCTCGAAAGCTTCGATGTTTTTTATGGTTAACTGTTTTAGTGTCCAAGCCTCAACTCCATATAAAAGAGTTTGCGCATTCTATTAAAGACTGATCTAGCGATTTCTATTCTACATAATCTTTTATAACTATATGTAATTTAAAGGGTTTTTACCCATGTATTTTTGGTGGCTCAGGCATTTTAACCTAGTAAGTATAGCCATTTTTGCTTTTTAACCATAGTCAAAATTTCATAACCACGTTTGTTTTAACTAAATGGTTTATACTTATTTTAGGCGAGATTTTAAACCTGATGATGGACTGTTTAGTTTGAAAACGTTTGTTTTTTTTATGTAGCCCTTTTAAGGGTTTTTAAATAAATATACCCACTTACGAAGACTAACCTCTTTTTTTGTGATACGTGGTATACAGCCAGCTATAGGAATTGTTTTCCTTGTGGATTTTACTAATATAATATTTTTGAGAATTTTCTATATAATAATTTCTGTACGGAAAGTTTTTAATATGAAAAACCTAGATTTTCAACATACCGTTTCCAGTAGTTTCTCTGATTCATTGCACGCTGCATCAAGTAAAAATAGCTGATGTTCTGGAGGTATAGGATATGTTAAATTGCTATTAAAAGTTTCAAACTGGCAAGCTATGTATCTAGTTGATAATTCCTTTAAAAGTTTGAATTGGTCATCTAAAATATATCATTAAATAATTATAATAATGTAATAAAAACCCACAAAAAAAATTTACAACTACTTTTATTTTTGCCAAATTATATGGTGGTGTTAAAAGTACGCCCCTCAACAAAAACAACACAAAAATTTTGGGAAAAAATGTGTTTATTTTTCTCGTTTCAGCTCTGTACACGTTTACCAGCGATGTTCAATAAGTTAGATACCCTTTTTATAATAAGACCTATCTTGTTTCTCAAAATAGCCATTAACTGCCGACATTACTTCTTCACCAATGGAAAATCTTTGACCATTAAGTCATTTTTTCGAACAGAAAATATTCCAAGTGGGCTAAATTTGACGAATAAGATGCTTGAGGTACCAGTTCAAACTTTAGTTTATGCATTTTGGCCATTTCAATAACAAATATGTGAGCTAGTTGGTGAAACAACACTTGCTTCTTAGTCAAATACGGCTGATTTTGCTTGATTTTCTATGATCTTCGCCTTCATTGGAGCCGGCTCCTGCTTTTAAATCTATTATTTTTTGCCAGAGAGCATCATGACTAGAATGTTAATATCTGGGAGCACGTGTTATTCACTGATGAGTCGAGGTATTGCTAATATAGCTCAGACAGACGTGTGAGGGTTATTCGACGATCAAGAGAACGCTATGCTCAGTGCAACAAACGTCCTATTACTTTGTTCAATCGAGGATCTGTAATGGTTTGGGGAGGAATATCTCTTACATCGCGAATAGACCTTGTTGCTTTATGAAGAGATTTCTTAACAAATGAAAGGTATATTACAGACATTTTGTCTCAACATATAGTTCCATTTGCATGTTGCACGTGTGATCCGTGAATATTTGGATGAGGTTGAAATACAAACTATGAACTGGCCATCCTGCAACCCTGATCTAAATTCCATAGAGAATTTGTGGGATATTAATTGCCAACTCAGTAGCCGACAACCACCACCTGTCTTTTTTGACGACATATAAGTAATGGTGAGAGAAGTTTGGGATAGAAATACTCGTTATTAAGTGTTTTTGGGAGAAGAAATTGTTAAAGATTATTCAGGTTATGTTTTCTTAGGCTTTAGTTGTATAAAATGTTAATATAGTTTGTGTAAATAGTGTTTTCTTTGCATTAAATGTTAATAAAAACTCGGTACATTTAAAGTTTTGTGTAATCTTTGATAATCGGGATATCGAGATAATTTTTTTACGAAAATCTTGAGAAAGTACGAGATATTCTTGAAATATTAATAATATAAGGTTCTTTCTAATAAATTTCACAGGGTATTGCAAAATTAGATGAAAAAACACAACTTTATTTTTTACACCCCTTCTTCTTCTTCAAGTTCCACTCCTATCGGAGATTGGAAATCATTCTGGCAATTATAATTTTATTGGTTACTCGCCTGAATAGTTCAATTGAACTGCATCCAAACCATTCACGGAGGTTGCGTAGCCACGAGATTTTACGTCTTCCTACGCTTCTTCTACCTTTGATTTTACCCTGCATTATATTCCTTAGTAGTTCGTACTTTTCACCTCTCATGATGTGCCCAAAGTATTCCAATTTCCTGATTTTTATGGAATTTAAAACTTCGCATTGTTTTCCTAGTTGTTCGGGAACTTGTTCGTTTGTTTTGCGATCCATCCATGATATTTTTAAAATACGTCGGTAACACCACATTTCGAATGCTTCTAGGTTTTTAATGTTGGATTTTTAAGTGTCCAAGCTTCAACTCCATACAAAAGGGTAGAGAAAATATAACATCGAACCATTCTTATCCGGAGCGATATATTGATATCGCGATTACAAAAAAGTTTTCTCATTCAATTAAAAGTTGACCGCGCAATTTCAATGCGGCATCTTATTTCTTTTGTCTGATCAGTATCTTCTGTGATCCATGCTCCAAGGTATTTGTACAAAGATATTTGTTCAATTTCTGTATTATCTAGTACTAGCTTAACTTGATTTTTAGATTTAAAAATTGATTTTTAGTCCATAATCGTTGCAATATATATATTTAGTTGTTTAGCAAGGTGTTGCAGTTCTTCTAGTGTTCCTGCCAGAAGGACGGTGTCGTCAGCATATCTTATGGTATTCAGTGGCTCACCGTTTATTATAAGGCCCTCACTGATCTCGGCAAGCGCTAATTCTGAGATGGCTTCACTGTATAAATTGAATAACAAGGGTGATAAAATACACCCTTGGCGGACCCCACGGCGAATCTGGATATCTGGATATATAATAAAAGATTAGTACAGTTTATAATTAAAAATATACCTAAAATGCGAAAAAAAAATGATTGAAATGCAATCATCCGTTCAACAAAAAAATAACTTGAAATGGTACATTTAAGATGATGCGTTATTTTGGGCAGTAGTGTATAAAAGACGCAATATCTCCGGTTCTAATTAACAAAAATTAATGTTTTTTTTATTTGAGGTACCTTATGGTACGAATCATAAAAATACATTTAGTTAAATTGTAAATTGTTTTTTGACTATGTACATTATTTAAACAATTTAAAAAATATATTTATTTTGCAAAATTTTACTGTTTATAATAATATGTATTAGTAGAAAAGGTTGCAAAATAGTGAACGACTTAAATATTTATGTTTTACAGTTAGATAAAATAAATGATATGTTGTAACAAAAAATTTTACAAAAAATTAATTTTTCATTTGAAAATCAAATCTATACGTCTTGAATTATGCTTATTATTTTTACAATTACTTTTTCTCAAAAATATTGCAAATATATTTTACACAAATTAATTGTTATAAACTTTGTATAATTATATATGAAAATTATTATGGAATTATTTTATATATTAATTAACATATTAAAATGTACATACTTAATTTTCCTATTTTTATTTATAATTTATACTTATAAGTTTATAACAATTCATTTATTTAAAATATGTTTGTAATGTTTTTCAGTCAAGAAAATTAATTGTAAAAATATTAAGCAAAATTTAAAAAAATAAGACGTGTAGACCATGTTAATCGCCAACGTCAAGGGGACTTGATAGGGCACGTTAAGAAGAAGAAGAAGACGTGTAGATTTGATTTTCAAATAAAAAATGTTCTTCTTAAATTCATTTTTAAAAGATAATATTTATAACTATAATACATAAATATTTAAATTGCTTATCATTTCATAACCTTTTCTACTAATATTAATAAGAGGAAAGGAAAATTTTGCAAAATAAATATTAATTTTACATTGTTTAAATAAATTACTCGGTTAAATAAATAATTTACAAATAAACTTTGAATTTTGATAATCCATGCAACGGGGTACCCTAAATTAAAAAAAAAATAAATTTTCGTGGATTAGAACCGGAGATATAGCGACTTTTAGAAATTTGAATTAATGAATTCAGTTTTTGAAATAGTAAAATCGAGAAATAAAAAAAGGCTAACACGGGTTTTAAGTACTGTAGGATATTCTATTTTTTTTAATTCGTGTAAAAATGACAATATTTTGGAAAAAATTAACTTCTGTTGATGCGTCTGAGTGATTTTAAATGTTTATAAAACTCAAATTACAGTACATGTGTAAACCAATTTACATTACAATGCAGTATGTTAAAATATTTAATATATATTTTTATTTGTTAAATAATTTAATTTGATAAAATAAGCTATTCTCTTCAATTTGGTGCTTTTAGAATTCATACAGACCCAATAATTACCGCATAATAACGTTGTAGATAAAAGCTTTTTGGGATAAACAATTTTAAAGTTCCTATTATCACGCGAAATTAAAGATTTTTGTACATTTTTTAAAAAGTTATTAATCATTTTCAATAAATCGACTTTTGAAGCTATTTTTGCAAATTAAGTAACAACTTAACAAAAATAACTTTACAGACTCTCATTTAAAAGGATTTTTTATGCATTTTCAGTAAAATTGTGTCACTTTTCCATATAATTTACCGGTTTTCACCTTTAATATTTAAAATCAAATATCAATCTAATATTGTTTGTAAGTAAACAATGACATTTATTTTTTTCCATATGTTTATCTATACTTTTGCATCAGTAGATTTCTAAAAAAATATTTTTTTAAGAAAACATGATTTGCCTTACCTTTCGACCAACAAACATGAACAAAAATTTTAGTAGGGACATTTAATTTGCCAACAAAATCAGCAATTAACTTTATAATTTCCGAATTTTCATTTTGTATTGAAAATTTCAGCAATAAGATCAGAAAAAACAAAGGTTTCTTCGTCTCCATTCTGGCGCGAGTAATTTGAGAATGAGTCAATACTACCCCCGTTTATGACAGCCAAAAAAAAATATGCATTATATATGTGAAAGGAGGAGACACGGTGAAACGAATAAAACCGCTTATTACCAAACTAATAAATCCTTTGCTTGCTGATAATTACATGTTGAGATCTTTACACAACGAGATTATTTTTCTTATGGTTGAGTTGTTTCTATAATTCTTATTTTTATCTTTCAAGTGGTAATTATTTAATAATATAAAACTTAGTACTTGCGAAGATCAATAAACTTAAACAATGAATGTTTTGAAATTATGCGTCCTACTTTTGGTTAAGGTCGTTTAGGTATCTTTTACATTTAAAGCACATCCGAGATTTTCACTTGCTTGAAGGCGTTAAAATGAGAAAACGTTACGAGTTATATTTCGCAAATATCTTTTGTGACGTGTTTTAATTGGCTTAATAAAATAAGTATTAAATACTCGGAACTGATAATTCAAAATAAAATATCAATTATTTTGAAAAGTACCAGCCGAGTTAACTAATTAACACATTCTTTAATTAAAAGTACTAAAACAACAAACATTTTTGTCTGTTTCGATAATAATTGGAAAATGATCTGATCTTACGACATTCTTAAGAGTATACCACTTATAACAATAGCAAGATCTGATGACGAAAATGTTAAGTCGACCACTGATTTAATGTTATTAAGGAATGAAGAGAGCATTCAATCAATATGCTAAAATCAATCAATCAATATGCTTTTTAGACAGTTATTATAATTTAATGTTATTAAGGAATGAAGAGGGCATTCAATCAATATATGCTAGACAGTTATTGGGCATTCATAGTAGGAACATTCAGGTGGTAGCTCTTTAGTTATGAGATGCTGATGAGTTAACGCTGTATGTCCAATAATCCTAGTTTTAACATCCTTAAGTTTAGGCGTAGTAGAATTCCACATTTATTGCCAATTTTTTCCACAATGTTGTTTAATATTGAAATGGAAATCACTGAATGGAATTGTTGTCATTATTTCAGTTTGCTCGTTAGTAACAGCTCTCTTTGCTAATTTATCTACTTTTTCATTTCCTGCGATACTTTTGTGCGACGGTACGGAAAGAGATTTAACTTTTGCATGCCTGTTTTGTAGGTGGTAAAGAGCCAATTGAATTTGTTGGAGGATATGATGTGTTGAATATATTTGCCTTAAGCTGTGAAGAACAGATAAAGAGTAAGAGTCAGTAATGAGAAGAAAGTTTGAGCTTGCATGACTCTTACATGGGCCTAATGCCTTTAACCCTTTATAGGGCAGAATTATTTTTTGGTAATATATACAAATTCTTTGCAGATTATAGATAAGGAATGATCCGTTATTGAACTTTCATTCGTATTTTCATTTTATTTTTACTCCTTGTTGTTTTTTTTAGGTGGTTGAAATTTCGTCCACAGCCTGATTAGGACTTTGGTAAATGTAGTTGTGGTTCCATAATCGACCACAGAAAAAACACATTAATTACACATTTTTATTATGAAATAATGGAAAGCATTGAATACATAATGCAACCTGGCAATCTGAGCATTTAATACTTGAACGTTTTGGCTTTGCTCTCGTTGAACAGAGTGCACAACGTCTTGATGTTCCTTTTTCTGGCATGTGATTGCCAACATCGCTAGTCTCACCGTGCTTTCAACGCTAACAGAATTAGTGGTTGCTCCCATTTTCTTCAGTTTATTTCTTCCTATTGTTACCTTAGGTCCTGGTCTCTTTCTGTTATAGAAATCACCTATGAGCTCGTTGGCCAATACACTTCTAAAATACAGGTGACTCATTGGTTTCGATTTAATGGACCTCATTTTCATTGTAGTCTTAGTTATATATGAATTTACCACTGCTGCATCAATCAAATAGTAAATAATCTTCATATACCATCTTCGAGATTTCCATGAAATTGGATAAGAAGCATGAAGTTGATCAAATAGATCGACTCGAGAAAACGAAGAATTTTTAAGAATCGTTTTTGCGTAAAAATTTGCGAAACTCTTGGCACGTGCATGTTAATATCAGTTGACCAATAATGTCTCAAACTAGGTAGTTTATGAAACCCCATGATTATAAGAACCCCTAGAAATGCTTTCAGTTCTTCCTCAGTTAGGTCGAGATTATTATGATTTTGTTGTTGAGCATAGAGATTTGACTGTGTAATTATATTAGCTATAATATCTTTGCTCATGAACAAAGAAAACACGTCGAATGGTGAATTTATATTGACCGGTTTTGCTGGGACAAATGGTCTGGTAAACGGCGCATTCGAATATTTTTGTGCATCAGAAGCGTTCTTTTTCCGTTCATATGTATCATCGCACTTTACTGTGTTCTCTTGGTTCTCTTCTATTTCGTCTTCGCCTGAGGAAGTATCGACGTCGTCAAAAATGCGATTTGTTCTTACCTGTGGGTGGAAAGCTATATCATCCATTGAGTCATCTGAATCAACATCAAGAAATTCAACCTTGTCATCATTAGATAATGAAGTAATAGTCTGGTTGGATGCAACCGACGTTCGGTTGTAAATAGGAAGATTATCTTCTGCATCAGAATTACCCTCAAAATCTGAATTTATGGCTTGTTGATATGGAATACCATCTATGTAATCATACAGAGTATGATGGGTTGTGGTTGGCGAATCGACCACATTGCTGCCACGCTGCCGTATTTTGTTCTGTGGTGTTTATTTTGAGTACAATTCATTTACAAACACTGAATTTGCACTTCGGTAACTTTTCATGTCAATTACTAGCTCATAAGTATTAATAAGAGCAGTGGTCGAAATATCGACCACAGACCTATAAAGGGTTAAAATGGCAATTGCTTCTCCCATAAAAATCCTGCAGAATTGAGGGATACGAATTGCATATTCAGTATTTCCTAGTATAAAGGCCGCTGCATGTCCATTTTCAGTTCTTGATGCATCAGTAAAAATCTAGTTATAGCCAGTGTATTCTGATATTCGTTCTTGATATAGTTTGTTATGGTACTACTTGGATAGACCGTGAGGTATATGTCAATAGTAGGAGAATTGTAGTCCAGGGAGGTCTAGTTGGTTGTGTAGGATAAGAATATGTCAGCTACTCCAGGTCAAAACCATATCTCGTTCAACGTTCTTTAAGGGGTGGATATTTTAATTTTTGATGGCAATGTCTAGGTGGATGTGTTTTGTAAAAAAGTGGGTAGTTTATGTTATTATTGATATAAGACAATCTCACAGCATAATTTAAAGAAATTTTTTGTCTTCATATTGATAGGAGGGGCTCCTTTAGGATTTATTTCATATGAACCTCACATCTTATGGCGTGCATTGAAGTCATCTTCTATAATAAATGTACCATTAAGTGTTTAATGCATTTTCCCAGTCTGGGCAGCTTGTCCTTATGTTGAGTGGGCATTAAACGAAGAAACATTTAATTTTTTTCTTATTACTTGCTTTGATCTGGATATCATACATTAATTTTGACGAACATTAAGTGAGGTGTAATTAAAAGATTTTTGTATTAGGATTACTGCACCGGCATAACTGTCATCCCTATCTTTACGTACAATATTGTAAATAGGAAAAGAAATCTGTCTGTCAAACATAAACTAATTTTCGGATAATAAAGCGGTATCAATAATAATAATAATGTTTATTTACTTCTCATTGTACAATAAAAAACAATGTTACAATATAATAGTTCAAAATAATAGAATTACAAATTAATTCTAAGTTAAATATTTTGTACAAACAAATAGTTGTTGGCAAATAAACACAGAAGAAGTTCACTAATGAACCAGAGGTTTCGCTCAGGGATTAAACTCATTTACACAATTCAAATATTTGTTCTACAGTATCATCAAGTTGAAAATATAAAATAATATTACAAAATATATATTACAGTATATGAGTTATATGATGAATTTTAGTTAAAGAAGATCGTATCCAAAATTTCTGATCCAGTGTTCTTAAGAAATTTTATAAAATTTTAATTTATAAGCACTAGTAATTTAAACATAGTCATGAACAAAATTATGTTTAGCAAATATGACTGTCTAATATTAAAGATATCTGCTTGCTGATAAAAAAGTTCTGATGAATATAAACGAGATGTTTTTAGCATTATTTTCAAAACCTCCTTTGTAGTATTTCGAGTTTATTCAAATGAGAAGCATATGTTCCACTGCTGCTAAAATGGCATATCTAAGATGTGACTTTATCAAAGAATACTATAGTATCTTTAAGTAAAACAAATTAAGCATATTGCTAAGATATCTGAATCTGTATACCATATCAATATGTACATTCCACTTCAAGTGACAATCAATATAAACGTCTAAATATTTTATGTATTTTTTCCTATTTATTTTAATGTTCGCGTTATTCTAGCCTAGATTTAATTCCAAGAAGTCGGGTAAATTATTTTCGTATATCGAAAATGGTATGAAATAAGTTTTGTCAGTATTAACTGTCAGTAATTTTCTATTTAGCCATTCCAGAACATGTTTCTGCTAAGTTTTTTCCAAAAATCACTAGTGTAAAGTATGACAGTATTGCCAGAAAAACAAATAATCCTTCCATGTATTTTAATTGCTGCTAGATCATTTTTATATATATGGAAAACAGTAAAGGACGTAAAATAGTACCTTGAGGCACACAATATTCAATGATTTTTTTTAGCACTTACTTTCTTATTAATTTTGACAATTTGCGATCTGTTTTTTAAATAACTTTGAAATAGTAAGTACTTTATGACTCTTATTCCAAGATCATCCAAAGCACTTAACAACTGCTGATGACAAACAGTGTGAAACGCCTTATCCGCTATGTAATCCGCTACTGATTATAAATAATCAGTAGCAGATGTCATAGCGACTGAAGTGCAATATCCCTTATTGAAACCAAATTGGTTTGGAGACAGCAGGTTAAACTTTGTATTGATTTACTCGTTCGGCAAGACCCTTTAAAAGATTTTTGCAATGCTGGAAATAAGTGATAGGTATAGGACGATAATTTTGCACCAATTTTGTATCACATTTTTTAAATATAGGTATAATTACACCTTTTTAAAAAGGTCAGGACATGTACAATGTTCAATATGATGTTCATCTAAACATTTTATTAAACTTATCTTATTAGAAACTGCTGATTGAGCATTGCATTGCCAATTTTTTAAATTTATTATCTTTTATTAGCCAAAGCACTTTGAAAAGTATTAAAAACATGCTCACAGAAATTATTAGTATTAATTTAGGTTAGATCTATCAAATGGAGGTAAAGGTTAATTGGGCATAAACATGAAAAGAAACATTGGGGTTTCTATGGGAGAAGATAATTTCATTAGAGTAGGTGTGGTAGACCAAAGATGGGAGATGAGGATGATAATGATGTTCTAATTTCTTTTTTCATTACTCTTGTGCTCAATCTGCACAATCATTATATATGTACTGCTATAAGTAAGAGAGAGCAGAAAGAGAAAAAGAATTAGGTATATAGGTATATGGTACATCGTTTGCTCATTATAAACATATATATAAACAACATTTGACTTGTAATAGGAGTATAGTAAATGAAGGATTGAATCAATATTTTGATGAAAATGTATATTTTTATTTTCATATAGGAATGAAAGGAGTTGAATGCAAAAAAATTCACATTCTCTACAGTAAAATTCATTGTTTATTTTGTTATCAATATAAAAATACAATACAATACACTGTAACATAATTCAATATAATAATACAATACAAATTAAAATGAAACTTTCATAAATATTTAAAAATGACAATATACATAACTTATTTACGCATATATTTAATTTACCATGATAATAATATTAATAAAATAAAAATATCGTTTCGTGATACAACTGTCAATTTGTCTGACATTGACAGATACAAAATTTAATTGTTGTTTGTTATGTATATAAGTATACATTTGAACTTTTTTGAGATATTTACAAGTTTTAATTTATAATTTAACATGCCTAACGATACTCAAGACAAATCTGAACAGAATGGAAAAATAATAATAATATTAATAGATATTAAATATATTTACAAAAGGAACATTTTTATTCTCGTGAGAGAAAGAGAGAGAAAATATATCTTCTGTCTCTCTCTTACCTATATCCTACACATTTGCCGATTCACTCCCGTACAAATTTCCAACGTCGAACGCGCGTATAGAAGTATAACTTCAAAAATAAATAGTTTCTCTATTATATATAATTCCACTCACTAGAGATAAGAATACGCCTGGAAAAGGCAATGTTTTACAAAATGCAAAAAGTTCTATGCAACCGCCAGCTGGGCATCTCATTGAGAACTAGAATACTTAAGTGCTGTTTTCTCTACCTTGCTCTATGGTGTTGAAGCCTGGACAATGACAAAAGCAACACAAAAAAGAATCCAAGCATTCGAACTCTGGTGTTACCGTAAATTGCTCAGAATATTCTACATGAGCCATACGACAAATGCGGAAGTCTTGAGGAGGATGAATAAGGAAAGAGAGCTTATGCTTAAAATAAAAGAACGGAAAATACAATATTTTGGTCACATCATAAGAAATCAAAAGTATGAACTGCTCCAACTTATAATCGAAGGCAAAGTCAATAGCAAAAGAGGACCAGGAAGAAGACGCAACTCTTGGCTTAAAAACCTACGGCAATGGACGAACATGACCTCCATAGAACTATTCAGGGCTGCTACAAATAAGATTAAATGGGCAAATGTAATGGCCAACGTCCTTAAGGATAAGGCACCGTAAGAAGAAGAAGATATACTTTGAATATTGTATATTAGACTTGTTAATTTTTAATATACTCTCTTTAAATCATTTCTCTATCGCTTCATTATTTTCTCTAATATCTCTTAGTTTTTCCTGTCAACACTGTCAGTATCAAGAAAACACCAAGGGAGATATACTCAGAACTGGCTTCTTGTCTAATCCACTACTAAACGAAATATATAAGAGCTAGTTTTCACACATAAATACAAATGATAAAACATAAAATCGGAAGTTAAATATTGTTGTGATCTGCTTTATGATGTTTTATTAATAATTAACACTAATTTAATTAATCCAATTATTTAATTAATTAATTCACTAATTTATGCAGAGTCATACAATTCAATTACTATTAAAAATTCTCAGGGTGCCTTTTTTTGTTAATTATTACTTTAATCAGTTTACTTTATATATCTCTTCTAGTGGGTTCAGTATCTCCTAGTTGCTCATAATCGGGATAGAACAGGAAACGGAACTAACATTAAAACAACATAAATATACACACAAATTATTATTTATTTTCAATAAGCAATACGATGAATATTAATAAATAACTTTTGTGGACAATTATCTTTCCCAACAAACTCCTATACTCTAAATTTAATTTTAATTACAAACTATCTATTGATCTGTTTTATAATATCTACTAAAAAAAAATGACCATATAAAAATATAATTTATTCACAAAAAAAAATAACTCTTTGAAACTTGGAATCTTAGTTCGTATGCTTATATTTGATTTTATCTTTAGAATATCTTAAAATTTTCTTTCATTCAAATTATTTGACTGACCTTTATTTTCACACCAATGATGTCTTCTCTCGATCAAACCACAGTTCCTTCCTTGATTGATTATGTCCGGCTACCATCAAATCTTTCCCGTTCTCAGCATCGATCCAAACCGCATACCAGCAAACTACTCCTCCGGAAACACAAGCCCAAGCCTCTTTTGACCGGTACTCTTTATTCACAAATTCTCCTTTCTTTCTCAATTATATCTCGTGGACTATGCAGACTCAAAAGAAATATTAATCTTCTCGATTTTGCTCTGCTCTCAGCTTCCACCTTTTTCACTAACAAACGAAAACACTGGTACTCAGATTGACTACACGAAAACACGTCTTCTCTTCTGGTCTGCCGGTAACATAATAATCTTTCAATCTCTCCCAGACAACCTTCTCAACTCTCTCATTCCCACCATTCTTTTTTAACCAATTATAAGCATTCACCTTTCCCACTTATTTTCGTTTTAGAAAATTTCCAACATGATATTTAAAACAAATAAACTACTTTCACTCAAATTACTTTTCAGAAACCATTAACAATTTTGCCTTTTTCAACAGAAATAAGTTTCCAAATTCTTGTTATCTCTTATCTAAATCTTATTCTTATTTACTTTCGAAAAATGCCCACCGCAAAATACAATTACAAGTTTATTCCTAAATCTATAATTATACGGGTTCCATTGTCCTTTCACTATTCACTCAGTCTTTCACGGAAAAACTCGTTAGGGTCCCGTCACGGAACAATGTTTTCTCTTATTCTAAC